ACAAAGCCAACAGTCGTAGAGTAGGGGTTGGAAAGGGGAAAAATAGTTATCAGGAACTGTCTGTCCTACCCTTTGAGCTGGAATGAGGAGGGGAGAATACAATGGAGAATCTTCTACAAAACTGGACTCTCCTCCCATGACTACTTAGTTCACCATAGAGCCATGGAGGAAAGTATATTCCACATAAGAGCAAATAAAAGACACCTTGGTCCTGCATCTTTCCCACTGAATATCCTTTACTTCCTTCTCTCTTCACCTCCCACCCCTACTTTTTCTTCCCTCCCCTTCTCCTTATTCTCCCAGGCTTCTCTTTTTGCTCTCTGCAACCACGCATCATTACCATATGCCCTTTTTCTTTTCACTTGAAGCTCCAAAATAAGAAAAGGAATTAAAATACACATACAAAAATAGCACAGGTTCTTTACGTGTTTCAAATGTCCTTATACTGGGGAGGGAAAACATACAATTTTTATTACTTCACACCAATCCTGACTATACAACATCGTTAAAATATAGGCCACAGCAAAAATATTTTTATAGTTTCTCCCTCTCCCTTTCTCCTTTCTCCTGAAAAAGGTAGCTAGCAATTTGTCAATTCAAATGTGTGCTAGGTATGTGGGATGCTAATTATCTAGGCTACCATTTATTATTTATTCCAGTATGAGGACCACTTTTAACACCAAAAAATGTCACACACAACACACACACAACAAGAAGTGATCCTTTTAGTACCTGTTCCCTGAGAAAATGCAAACCTTGTAGGCACTGATATTTAGTTAACTTTTGACTGATTATGAAGTTTATTAATTACAAAAACATCCATTTACATTTACATAAAACAACAGCAGTTACAGGCAATGTTTCTCAGGCCCCTCACCTCACAAACTGCTCAGCTCTCCCTGGAGTCAGTCTAGACGAGCTGGGAATCATGGCTCTGAGCACTTTGGGATCACCACTTCTATATCAAGAGTTGTCCAATTTTGTTCATGAATTAACTAAACAAGTAGCAATACAGTCTGATAATAATTTAGTACAGCAAAGTGCTTTCTGTTCACACAGGATCTTTCTGGGATAATTTGTCTGAGTCCTCCCAACAGCCATTTTTTTCTTTTTCTTTTTTTTAATACTCACCTGAGGTTATGTTTACGGATT